ATCTCCTTCTTTGAGCATACTAGATTGTATGCTCCCCAAAGATCTATTTTTTGTATAGATCTTAGTTTGATTCAGCTGATTAAGAAGTCCAGATATTAAAGGTAGTGGATACCTATTTTTGATGGTAATCTTGTTGAGTCCTTGATAATCAACACACATCTGCAATGATCCATCTTTTTTCTTCACAAATAGAATTGGAGCTCTTGCCGGAGATTTAGAATGGCATATGAAATTCTTGGCTAGATTTTCTTCAATATACTCCTTGAATCCAGTCAACTCATTTTGTGATAAACTATAGATTGGTCCGAATAACAGTTGTACTTCTTCTTGAAGGTCATTTGAGCAATCATAGGGACAATGTTCTGGGAGTGTATCTGCATTTTTTTTTTCGAATACATCTTAAAATTCTTGATATTGGCTTGGAATGCCACTTGAAGTCTTTCCACTAGTAGAAATAGGTGTGGCATAAATAATATATGGTGATTCTTTCATAGCAGCATGTAAGAAAGCTTTTGCACCTATAAATATGGGTTTAATTGAATTGGACTTATGACTCTCTACTTGATTAATTACACTATTAGTTATACTTTTAGAAAAAGTAAGAGTTTAGGAAATCCAATCTATTTGAGGGTTATATTTTTCTAACCACAATAAACCTAAAATGACTAGATTAGAGGGAGATCTAATGATATTAAATACTACAAAGCTATTATGACCATTGATTATTACTTCTATAGGAAGGATTTTGTGAGTAATATCTCCAGAAGACAATGGACGACTATCTATGACTTCTACATGAACAGATTTAGTTTTCTTTATTAAAGATATGCTATGTTTTTTAGTAAATTCTTCATCAAAGAAACTCGCCGAGGCTCTTGAATCTAATAAGGCAGAGGCTTTGTAATATTTAGGTCCTAAAATAACATTTAATGTAAAATAAGGAGAAGGCTCTGAGGAGAGAATAAGACATTTACTAGATGTTGTGCAAGGTTCCAGCCTCACAGTCCCTATTGTAGCTGGACAAAGTTGATTTTCGACATATTGTCTTCTTTCACAGCCATACTCCTCATTTTGTGATTGCATCATTTCTTTGAATAATGTTGAGCAGTGTGCTTTGGTTCTCTACAATATAAATATAATCCTTCTTGACGACGACGAGTCTTTTCTTGCTTAGTAAGAGGTTTGAAACATACTGCATCAATTTGCATATCCTCTACTTTTGAATGTATATGTTGAAGAAGTGTTGATGTTGCTATTGAGTTATAGTAATGTTGAGGTCCACTTATACGGTTCTCAAATCGAAATTCAAAAAAGTGATTGTCGCACTTCACTGCAAAGTCAATTGCTTGACTCAATGTTTGAGGATCAGGTAAGTTGAATATTAATTTTTTTACTTCATATTGTAATCCGTAGAGAAATTACCTAATAAGTGCAGCATCATCCTACTTGATATCAGTTGCAAGTTGTCAAAATTGTGAAGCGTACAACGTTACTGTTCTATTGCTTTGTTATAAAATATGGATCTTATTGGTTGTAACACGAATTGCATCATATTCTCCATACATGGATCAAAACTCCACCAAAAAAGCCTCTAGATTATCTAATATTGGATCTTGTCATTCAAAAAAAGATGAAAATCATGATAGTGCTGAACTTGAAAGAAGCCTACTAATGAATCTAACTTGCGATCCTTGAGTTGGATAGCTTTGGGGTTGAAGTTCAATCAC